CAATCTTGGGATGAGCAGCGATACGGTTGTAGAGGGCCATCAGTTTCGGGTAGCTGCTGAACATGGACTGGTTCTCCATAAACATGTTCTCCATACAACAGTAGAACATCATGTCACACCACATCATCTGGAAGATTCAAGAAGTTATTTGTCAGAAAAATATCCTTATATAATGATGCACGAGTCTATTGAAAAATATGACGGATGCGCAGAATGCTTAGAAGTTTCCCACTATACAACCTCTTTCCGTAAGGTACAAAATGGCAAATGTTCGAACGAACTACATTCTTTAGTTCCGCCAATTCAGAACTTCACAGGGTGGACATGGCGTGCTACTTCCAAGGGATCGAATCACCCTCTTTTCCCCAGTATTCCAATTGTAAGAAGCTCTGCTCAGACAGACGTTTTCACAAGAACTGCTGCTGTATGTAACCGGCTCCCGTGAGGATACTTCCCTGAGATCTACGATCTTAAGCTGAAACTAATAATCCATCTCGTAATCATCACTACCTGCTTCCATTCCTTACGTTCATATTGCAAAACTCATTCAGTGCCCCTCTACCTTGAGTTGTTCTTGGGCCTTAGATTGACTGAACATCAGTTTAAAATGTTTAAAAGAATTATAACTTGATATGAGATAGTGGCATTATCGCCATCTGATGTCTTCCTCAAACTAGTTATTTTATTGTCTTTACCTATTCTCTTTCACTCCCAGTAACCCCTTGCGTCTTAGTAGCATTATCGCTATCTTCTGTCTCTGTAAAACCTGTTCTTTTATTGTCCATTCTCCTCCCTAAAGTCTTCTCATACTCTTTCACTACCAGTAACCTCCTATGTTTTAGTGGCAATATCGCCATCTTCTGTCTACCTGAAACTTTTCTTTTATTGTCCATTCACCTCACTAAAGTCTTCTCATTCTCTTTCACTTCTAGTAACCCCTTGCGTCTTAGTGGCATTATCACCATCATCTGTCTTCTTGAAACCTGTTCTTTTATTATCCTTTCTTCTCACTAAAGTCTTATTCTCTTTCACTCCAAGTAACCGCTTGTTTTTTAGTGGAATTATCGACATCTTCTGTCGTCCTGAAACCTGTTCTTTTATTGTCCTTTCTCCTCACTAAAGTCTTCTCATTCTCTTTCACTCTCAGTAATTCTTTGCGTCTTAGTAGCATTATCGCTATGCATGTATATATTTCGAGTAATTGAAGTTATTAAGAGACATACCAAACAGAAAAATACACGCTATTTCCTCTCTATAAGAATACAGAAACTTACCATGTCTCCCATGAAGAAGTTGTTTCCACCATTGCGCATGCTCAGAGTCCTCTCCATGAAAGGCATGATCCTGTTGAAGGTGTTCATGTATCTCCATTGCATGTAGTTCTGAATAAAGAAAACGTGTTGAGCATATCAGTTTCTAATTTTGAGGAAAACAGTATCATACGATTTCACAGTATCTGGCATGATCGAAATTCATTTATAAAATTGAGATTCGTATGAAAGTATCAAACTAGTAAATAGATTCTAAGGAAAAACATACCATGATGAAAAAAGACTACAAACTTGATAAAAAGAAAGTTGTTGTCATCAAAATGTTTATGTTAATATTAAGAGAAAAGACCAAAGTAGTTTTTTTCTCATTTTAATCTATTTTAGCACGTTTTAAAATTTTATTAAAAATCTTGTTCTTCTTACGTCAATGGGTGAGTCGAACATTAGTATCAGTATTCTTTGCGTTTTTTTGTTTTTGTTTGTTTTTTGGGGTTTTTTTTCTTGCCTTAGATATATATTGTTCTGAAAATACTTGCAAACATAATATAATTGTCGGTTCTTAAAAAAAATCAGGACTTATTCACAAATAAATTAAATTCAATTTTGTAAGAAATATATACATATACAAGCAGCATGGCCGTGCTTGATTCAAAAATCGTACGATTCATACAGCAATCGCTATCACTTGACTCAAAATATTTTTGCCCTTCTTTGCCTTTAAAGGAGTTCCCTTTGCCGTGCTGATGTTGCTACATGCCTTACTTCTTGCCTATCTCACACTGCGAATTTTTTCTAAGCTCTATACTAAACATTAAATCTGTTACAAAAAAAGAACTAAACAAAAAGAACACAAAACGATCAGCTTTTTAAAAAAAGGACTCGTAACTGGAAAACCGAATGAAAAAAGAATGTTAACAACAAATACTTTTTCACACCCATCCCAGTTCTGCGGAATCAGAATCAACGTTGAGTTTAAGCAAGCGAATGAGCCAATTGGAATAAAGTGCCATGCAGATTTAAATTTTTCCCACTTGTGACGAATGCACCTATCGATTTTTTTTGCATGCTAGTTAACATTCGTGTCAGTCAGCTGTTGGCTCTCACGCTGGCCAATAGAATCTTCCTGCCTATTCGTGACAGCCAGCTATAGGCTCTCACTCTGGCCAGTAGAAAATGGGCGCAAACTACATGAAAACTGCCGTGGAAGCACGAAAAAATCGATTATTTCCACTATGGATGGGAGTTAGGAAATGCAAAGTCGGTCTTCCTGCTTACTTGGAGCATGTGCATGTAAATTTTGTTGCAACTCTGTCGAAAATTGCGGCCGTGCATTCGTTACACACACACACACACACACACACACACACACACATATATATATATATATATATATATATATATATATATATATATATATATATATATATATATACTAAACGACCGTCCAGTGCTTTCTGCATTCTGTTGAGGTTTCAGACTCGATGAATTACTTAAATATAATTATCAAATCCTCCTAATAATTTCTATCATTTGTATATCATTGCTTGAACCGGCTTCTGATGCTCTAGAGTGAGCGACTTGGTTATAGTAGTCATGGCTCCAGGGGGCACAGTCCAACGGTTAGAGAGAAACTCAGTAGAGTTCCACCACGGAATATGTCAGCGAGCGGGATCTTTATTGAATCTGAGTTGCAACCGCGGCCCGGTAGAACAGTTGGTATGATGTTTGCTTGACAACCTCACTGTCAGGGTTTCAATTCTCTGTTGTGGATGCGCACTGCTTGATGAGTCCCAAATATAGGACGAAACAGCCGACCAGTGGATTCTGTTGTGGTTTCAGACTCGATGAATTACTTAAATATATGTACATTTTTTTTATATCTCTCACCCACACTTACTTAATATTCTGAAAATACGAGGACTTAAAATTTCAACCTCATCATATTTTATATTAGTTAAAAGCCGGAGCACCTCGAATCGATGTAATGTTAGCAGGCTTGTCTCGCTAGAACAATTGCGACCGAGTAGTGAGTTCGATCCTCACTGGGTGCCCATAGTTTGGGACTTGTGCTCCATCTACGTTACGCTTTGAAAATCACAATATAAGTGAAAAGCAGGAACCCTTGGAAAATTTAAATCCTCAGCTTTTAATCTCTTTTATAAATAAGATATATAGACAATATTTTCGATGAATAATGAATTTTCACAAGAATTGTTTACTTTTTTAAAAATTTTAATTAGAATCATTTAAATCATTTAGAATTCTGTATAACTTAGATTACCTTTAGGGTATATTAAATGAAAACTATATTTTCTAATCATAAATGGAAAAGCTTAATACAAATCATCAAACACCAATATTTTAAAAAGAATTTTGAATTTTTGTTTTGTGTATAAACGAGCCGATTTTTGTAAGTACTGGCGACAACATACGACATTATAATAAAATAAAAACAATAACTATAGTAAATTTAAAGATATTTCTAAAATTTAATAAACCTTTCAATCACGGAAAATATTTTCCTAAATTTTTAATATTACCGTGTACTTATTTAATTATGTCTTAGAGATAAAGCCTTCATAGGAAAACATTAGACCTGTCATCTGGCTATCAGTACGTCACGACAGCTACAGTCGGGTTAAAAACAAAGGTTAAAAATGAATTTCTGTGATATTTTAAACTTAAAAGAAATATTTGTTTCAAATCAGATTAATTATATTTTAAATCAACTAATATTTCTCAAATTAAGTTTCAAAACGTTTATTTTAATTTTGGAATAATTTTAAAGAGAATTACATTGATATGAAAGACGACCCTTTTTGCCGTTAATCGTCATTTTTAGCAAAAAAAAAAAAGTAAATTTAAATTAGTTTTTGAAATACAGCAAAGTATTTTGCTTATGTGAAATATTAAATTTAAACTATTAGCTTAAAATTAAATCTAAAATAAAAGCTTCAAGAAAGTTTTTTCATTTTTAAAAATGCATTTTAAACTTTTCACTTTCACGTTTTTTGCGAGGGGCCTATGATAAGATCTTCGAAAAGTAATTACGTCCTTAGTATTGAATTGTGAGTCTATGGACCAAGGTAGTAAAAAGGTTGAATGATCGGGGCTTGTGTCTGGAATTAGTTTGTAATCTCCTCTATCTGGTAGAGGAGATTATAAACTAATTCCAGACGGGTCATTTCGTCTGAGAACAGAACACAGTCTTCCACCATCTGCAGCTGTTAGTTCAAATCTATAGGAATGTCTTTTAAGAATATCCTGTCCCCAAATCTATAAACAACTCTTACAGATGCATGCTGGGATTTCTTCCTAACCATTAAAGTGGATCAATTCTTAGTCTTATCACCAATACTGGGAAGAGTGTTAACAGCTATTGGAGTTCAGAAATGTATATTTTAAATTCTTTTAAGAACCGTCTTCCAGCAGAATGTTTCTCCGATCACTACAATCTTAACCTGTTCAAGGCTATGGTTAAATGTGATCTTCCACTCCTATACACACAAATTGTATCTTAACGTAACCCTCTGCCACGAGTGGCCCTTGTAAAGGGTGAACCATACTGTAAAAAATATTATAAATTTTAGTACCAGCTGATCGATAAATGCATATCAAATGTTTCCTTATAAGGAAATGGCTAATGTTAACCCCATTGCATCTTAGTGACATTATCGCCTTATTTGGGGTGATATTAAAAAGAGGAAAATGAAGTAAAACTTGACTTACGTCGTAGTTGCTGCAGTTGCCCTCACCTCCGAAGCCGTAGTCGTTCATGTTGTACTGGGAAAAGAAGAAATACAAGGGAGAATGAAAAAGAACTGAAGTTTTCTCTGGATAATTTATTAAAATCGGCTTATTTATAAGAGATTTAATATTCCTTTCTTATTTCCAGCGGAAATTCCGGAAATTTGATGTCTATGCTGAGGTTATTTTGAAACTACTGATATAAGGAAAACAAAATTGTAAATATATATGAACGCTGATATCGGAGTAAACGGACGTGATTTTCTTTTGCCCAAAGAAAGCAATGTCATATTTAAAAAAAAATCTTGATTGTTTTACTTTTAATCATCCATTATTCTTGTATTTTTCTATGTCTATTATATTGTATTATACTATTTGTGAAGTTATTATTTATATACATATTTTGTAATCTTTTGTTCATATCTGTTTTTTTTTCTTTTTAAAAAAATTGTTTAGCAAGTGTAAGGAATATCGCTAAGAGTTAAATATATTAAAAAATTTAATGTATTGTATTTGTTAAATTAATTATAGTGGCATAATTCTAATCTATTTATATTTAAGCGTAACATTTATTTATCTGTTGTTTTTGCGAAAGTGGTCGTAATTTTCGGAAAGCATTTTTGTAATGTTTATTTTGTTTATCTTTGACTAATGGCTGACTACCGCCGATTTCTTTATCTATTATTATTTATATTCAAAGATTATTTTAATAACATTTGATGGGAATTTTTTCCTTTAAATTGTCTTATTTATTAATTGCAAAGTAACGTAATTTCAATTTTGTTGAAAAAGCGTTCCCAGTGATAAGGTTATTTTTTTCCTTTTTACTACTAGTCAATTTTGTATTATTATTTATCTTTCAAATATTTTTAAATACAACAGCAACAATAATAATTATTATTATTATTATAGCATTAATAATAATAATAATAAAATATTCTCATATAATTAATAATAATTTTAAACGTTATTATTATTATTATTTTAAAAGTATAGCTATATTTTGGCACTTTGATGACGAATTGTTTACTCCGACATCCAGTCTAATATATATATATATATATATATATATATATATTTCTATATATATATATATATATATATATATATCCCGCGGAGCTATGTAAAGTACCAGGTTGAGAGCTGTCGCGGGCTAGCTGCCCTTGATGAGGGTGTAAAGAGTCTATCTGAGCTTTGTTTAGCAATCCTTTTAGTATTAGTTTCACGATAAAAAGACTTCAGATATGAAGGAAAACTCATGACAGCTTAATCCGGTCATTATATTGCATGTGTCTGCTGAGAGGTGTGTACTGGCTGATATTGACTGTGATCTGGAGAGATTAAACGCGATGATAACACATGAGGACTGTCGTTCGGAGTTTCCGTGGCAAGTCTTTTGAACCGTTCCTTTTTTTTATCGACAGATCCAAAAAGTGTGGATGGTCCGACACAAGCCTTCACCACTTGAAACATATCATTGTGTTGGTTTTCTGACAACTACATCTAATTAGTTCCACACATATCCGGCGACTGCGAAAAACTCTACGAAACAAAAAGAAATGCATCTTGGCACTTCGAACTTCCAGAACAACAACTCAGCACCAGAAAGAAAAACAGCTCTTGTCGCATTGGAGTTAAAGAAGTACAACATTGATATAGCTGCACTGAGAAGTAAGCATCAGTCGACTACATGAAACATGTTTGTCGTCTTTTGGTCAATTCTCGAGACGGTCTCAAATGTCATGCCCGCCATAGGCATGCAGACAATTAGTTCGTGGTCATCGGAATCTCATACGTCGAACTCGACAGGAGAATCCATCATATATATATATATAGTTTTAAGTTGTGCTATATTTATGGGATAAAGTGCTCATTATCAGAGATAGAGCGTATGTAAATTTAAATATAAAAGTGAACATTGAAATCAACACTCAGAGGCGACAGATTGTTTCATGCTAGAGGCAATCGTCAGGCGGCCTGACGATTGCGCCTAGCACGAAACACCCTGTCGCCTCTGAGTATTGACTTCAATATTCACTTATATATATATATATATATATGTGTGTGTGTATGTGTGTGTGTGAATATAAAATTAAAAAAATTCTCACAATTAATGCATTAGAATGTAGATGTGATTTGTATTAATAATATATATATATATATATATATATATATATATATATATATATATATATATATATATATATATATATATATATATATATATATATATATATATATATATTACAGTGCAGAATAATGTATGTTTATTATTAAGATATATATTGATATAACCTAGAAAGGGTTACTGAATAAGGAGTAACCAAAATGGAGGTTGGAAATAAATTGGCAATCTTTATATCAACAAAATGCAATACTCGCCAGCGGCGTGAAGTAGGTAAACCGCTGGTAGGGTTGGACTACTTATACCGCATATTAACCCCACTTACAAGAGTGTCCAATACTCATTAGTGTTCATACGTACGGTATATATATATATATATATATATATACAGAAAGAGAGAGAGAAATAAAAGAGGGATAGGGAGCTGAAGAGACTGAGATATATATTATCGTACTGATAAATAGCTACCTACCTAGATAGATTTGAAAAGATTGAAATAGATAAATATATATATAAATATATAAGAGTTTGAATAGATAGATAGATAGATTTGAAAACACTGAGATAGAAAATATCAATTTTCTGTTTACATTACCCCTCCTGAGAGGACTAGATGAATTTATTTTTCGACTAGACTGGCAGCTAGGTCTCACCATTTTACCTCTGAACAAGCCTCGTGCAGCCACCGCTGCGAATCTAATATTTTCTATACTCGCACTACCTAACAATGGATATCCCTTCCGACTTTTAGCTTCCCTGATTATTACAATCTTCTAGAATTTAAATGACATGTCAATAGCCATCATGTGCCTTCCTGAACCATGTTTCTTTTTTGCCCTTTCTTCAATCCAACCCATTTTAAGTCTTCAAATGTATTTCACAGTCAATCCCTGTAAACCCCGAGTAATTTAATGGCATTACCGCCTTGCTGCGGTGGTGGTGGTGGGGTATTATACAGGGTCTGCGCACGCGCGCGACTCTCGGATTTCTCGTTCTCAGTTATAACCAACACACGAAGCAGTTTTGAATTGATTAATATTAATGCTCATTTTCTACATTCTTTTTCTTATTCGTTTCTATAGATAGTGTGTTGAAAGATGTAGATATGAAATAGCGAATATATTAGAAATAAATGACTCACTCTGAAGCATCCGTTCTTCCAGTGGAAATATCTCATGTAATCGTGCATGTTTTCTTTGGTGTAGTCATAACTTATAAAGCCCTTGACACTCGTCTAAACTTATGTTCTTTTGTCTTAATAGTCATTTTACTATCGACTCTTTGCTTATCCATTTCTATAGATAGTCCCTTGAAAAATGTAGATAAGAAATGTCGAGCAGATTCGAAATAACTGACTCAACCCGAAGCTTCCGTTCTTCCAGTGGTTGTACCTCATGTAATCGTGCATGATTTCATAGAAACAGTCATTATTTACAAAGCACTCTACACTCGTCTTAGCTAATGTCTTTTTTTCTTAATGATCATTTTACTATAGCCTCTTTGCTTATTCATTTCTATAGATAGTGTGTTGAAAGATTTAAATATGAAATGTTGAACAGATTCAAAATTACTGACTCATCCCCAACGTCCGTACTTCTAGTGGGAGTACCTCATGTAATCGTGCATGATTTCATAGAGGAAGTCATTATTTAGAAATCACTAGACACTCGTCTTAGCTAATTTCTTTTAGTTTTAATAATCATTTTACTATAGCTTCTTTGCTTATCCATTTCTATAGACAGAGTGTTGAAAGATGTCGGTATGAAATGTTGGATAGATTTGAAATAACTGACTCACCCTGAAGCGGCCGTTCTTCCAGTGCAAGTACCTCATGTAATCGTGCATGATTTCATACATACAATCGCTGATGTAGTCACACCTGAACATGTCCATGGCACTCTTGGGGTAGAAACCTAAGGAGATAAAATTACACGATTGACTTTCATTTAAACGTGAAATAACAAAATGTAATATTGTTTTTTGCATATCTTTACTTTAAGTTTCATATACAAGAATCTAGTTTTCAGTTTCTGCTGCGTTTGCGAGAAATGTAACAAATCGCATGACCAAACGCTTCAAAAAGTTGGAATTTGGCTCCACAAAGAAATATTTACGCATGCCCTGTTTTATGTTGCATGCCCGAGAGTAAGAAATCCTAAGAATTTATTCCTCGCTGTTAAAAATGAAAAAAGGAAATTTTCGTAAAAAATATTGTTTACAATGTTGTCCTATAATATTAAAGTAAATTAAAAGATTATTAAACTCCAAAGTAAGGTTTTGGCCAATGTATTTTTCCAGACAAATCGGCTTATTCAAATTTCGCCGATTAGTTTGTGAAATCGAATGAAACGTAGAGTTTGTAAATCTCAGCACAAAATGTTAGCAATGAGTTCAACAATAATAAATGCCGCGTATTACAAAACAACTTCTAGTATACAAGCAAATTTCGAAATATTCATTCATTCCTTTGAATATTAAAATTGATTGATACACGGTCACAGATACTAATTACTGGTAACATTAGTTAAGTATAAAGTTTACAGTGAGTTTAGTGTTTTATTGTAGGGTTTAAAGTTTCATTGTGTTATAAGACTTACAGTTATTATGAAATGCAATGAAACACCATGAATAAAATCCCGAAAAAAACACCCCACAGAAAAATCCCCACATTTCTTCCATGGAGCTCAGTTTTTGAAGTCTCTATGGGAAATGTATCATTGTCACTCCACTGCAATTTGCGACGATTATTAAGTTCTCCAAATTTATTATTGCCATGGGTCCTTACCTATAACTACAGAATGAACTCTTCCTTACACTATGTATACTACGCCTCTCAAGAGAGAGGGTCGAATCGAGTCGAGCTCCTCGGCTTGACGGTCGAACTCTCTGCCTCTGAGCAGAGAGGAACCCGGACGAGGCTCCGCCGAAGGTCAGTCTCGTTCGGGGAGGTTGACCAACCCGATCCCGTTTATACGGGTTCAACGGGCATTTTTTGGCCAAGCCTACGGGCTCGGGAAACCCACGTTAAACTCGGCCTTGTGCCACATGCAACCCTCGTGGGGTGGGTGGCTAGATACCAAATCGAGTCGAGCTTCTCGGCTTGACGGTCGAACTCTCTGCCTCTGAGCAGAGAGGAACCCGGACGAGGCTCCGCCGAAGGTCAGTCTCGTTCGGGGAGGTTGACCAACCCGATCCCGTTTATACGGGTTCAACGGGCATTTTTTGGCCAAGCCTACGGGCTCGGGAAACCCACGTTAAACTCGGCCTTGTGCCACATGCAACCCTCGTGGGGTGGGTGGCTAGATACCAAATCGAGTCGAGCTTCTCGGCTTGACGGTCGAACTCTCTGCCTCTGAGCAGAGAGGAACCCGGACGAGGCTCCGCCAAAGGGCAGAGTCTCGTTCGGGGAAGTTGACAAATCCGATCCCATTTATACGGGTTCTACGGGCATTTTTTGGCCGAGCCTACGGGCTCGGGAAATCCACGTTAAACTCGGCCTTGTGCCACATGCAACCTTCGTGGGGGGTCGCTAGATACCGAATCGAGTCGAGCCGATAGTAGTTCACTCCAAACCAGACTGACAGTCATACTTATACCTTCCACATCTTGTATTATTATTTCATGTAATATACCTTCGTTATTTCTACTCTTGTGTTCGTGTTGTTCTTCCTTGCTCCTAACCTGGACCATAACAATTATTAACAGTCACATATGATTAGCAATTAGAAAGTTAGCGTTTGAGATTAGAATTGGTTCTCAAAATTTCTAACTCAAACTTACATTTCATGTTTGAATTGAAATATTTTAACATTTTGAAATTTGATTAATTCTTAATTTAACAAAATAGTCTAAAGTTCAGCTTTTAAATATAAAATTTACAGTGGTATGTGGAACTTACCGTGTTCACGGGCCAAATACCTACAAATGGCCATGGTTTCGGGCATCATATCGCCATTGTCCATTTGCAGACAGGGCAAGTATCTGCAGGGGAAATCTAAGGAAAGAAAGATAAATATGTTGTTTTAAATATTGAGATTGGATTAGTTATTTCTTTTTTTCTTCTTATACACACACACATACACATATATACATATAATTATAATATATATATATATATATATATATATATAAATTTTAACTTAATTTTCAAATTAAACTTTAGGACTTGAGTTCCAGTTTTCGAAGCACAGTAATATCTGTGTCGCGATTAAATATATTTTTTTTAAAAATAATTATAATTTTAAGCTCTACTTCTGTATCGAGCACTGTTTTTTAAAAATAATATTATAAATACTAAAGAACTTAGATTATTAATCTACTTTTCCTATTACATCAATAGGCGCACACACACACACGTACACACACAACAAACACACACACTTACACACACAACACACACGCACACACACAACACACACACACACACGCATATATATATATATATATATATATATATATATATATATATATTGTGTTTATTTATTTTTGTACTGATCCTTATAATTATATATTATACCACTTTGGGTGATTGTATTTGCCAAAAAAGTAAGTACATATGTTTGATTGACAACCACAACATTATCAAAACGTCTTACACTTCGTTTATCAGACAAAAAGTTCTATTGCACAACAACATATTCCTGTCCCCCTTTGCATTACACTCAGCAAAATTTATTAAAAATATAGTAACAACATATTAAAGTGTATATAACATTTATATACTAATGCTGTTTTACATATCTACCAATTCTCAGTAGCTCACTTATGTTGAAACGCTTGTTTTGCAACAAAAAATTCCATAATTACAAAGGATACATTTTAAAATAACTATAATTGATCGCGTTTGCATGTTTTTGGGGTTTTTTTTGGGTTTTTTTTTAATCACTATGACAAAGAAACTCAGATTTTAACGCAGTTAAAATAGCATGTTTGATTTTTCAATTTAACCCCTGAAGATAGTCTTAGGAAAGGTCGAAAGTACCTAGGTTAAAAAAAGATAAAAAAACAAAACAAAACAAAACAAACTACGGCGCCTTCCTTGATAAATTTTACCTCAACGTCAGGAAACTGATTAGATAACCAATATGCAGTCTTTGAAAAGTGGTCTGTTTGAGCACACAATTCTGTCGAAATCAGATTATGTAAACCATTTGAAATTTCTATCAAAAATATATTGTCCTACCAACTCTCTCACAACTACAATTGAAAAGAATTTATCTAAGTCAATAAAGTTTTGTTGTGAGAGAGGTGGGTATCAAAACTCTCCCTCACCCTACCTACAGTCCAGATTTTACTACCTGTGACGTTTGTTTGTTCCCCAAACTGAAAGTTCACCTTTTTAAAAACATTAAGAAGATGAAGTAGGCTGTGACAAGGATCATGGACACATTCATCTTGGATGACTTCCAATGAGCGCTACAACAATAATATTGAAGTCAATGGATCCTAATTTGAGGTGATTAGAGTTTTGTACGTTCTTGAAAATAATAAATGCCTCTCCTGAAAAGTTCCAAGACTTCAGGAACGCACCTCGTATTTTTTCAAATTTACTATTGACACATCAGTTTTCTAACTGTTAACGAAGTTTTTTTGTTTGTAAAATATTATTTAGAGATATCCCGTAATAGACTTCTAAGTTTGAGACAGAGGAATGAGCAGTTATGAATGTACGAGATTCATGGAAGATTGAAGTTTATAAGCAGTAAATTCAACCTTGCCAACCGAACGATCCTTTGTGGCCGAGGAGTAAGACACGTCAGGCTATATGACTGTTCCGTATAGGATACAGGTTCGAATCCTGTCAAAGGACGAATATTTTCTATGAAATTTTCTCGGACATTCAGGCCGGTAAATGTTATTTAATACTGTTTATTATAAAGAGAGCATTTACTTAAATACTTGTATCTATAAAAAGAACGTTAAACATAAAAATGTCTTTAATATATATATTTATATATATATATATATATATATAACAGTTTTTGGAGTATAAGATAAGTAAGGGGAAGAGAGTTCCACTGACAGGAAGTGTGAGATAAGAAGCTGTTGGAGTAGACGGCTACATTTACCCGTTTCGACAGTGAAAGTGTGGAGCCGAAATGGCAACCTAGTAGCACGCTTAAATTCATGCAGTTTCGGAACCAGTAAAAGTAGCTGGTCAGAGCAGTTGCCATGAAAATATTTGTAGAAAAGAGAGAGGAAAGCCACAGAACGTCTAGGAGAAAGTGACTGTAGACGAGATGCCAGATTAGGACATATCACATTACATATCCGTCTCTGGACTTTGTCGAGGACCTCGAGATGAACATATATGGCTCGCAGTTATCAATGGCAGCAGACGAATGGTTGATTTGTAGATTTGAAGGATGTATTCAGACGAGAAAAACCTTCTGGCGCGAAACAGAGAACCAACTTTCCCTGATACAATAAGTTAATTGTGTCTTTCTTCTTGTTTTGGCCAGAAAGGGCGTCACTTTTTCGAAATTATTCTGAAAGGTTACTTCCAATTCTCTTTTTAATTTTTTTCGGGTTTTTTTCACCGGTACATATCACTCAATGATCCTAACAAGCAGCTAAGTCTTATCATCTTTGATAAAAAGCAAAAAGAAACAGGAAATAAGTTACCTGAACTTTAATGTAATATCGGTCATCTTATATGGCAGTGAATACTAGCCATTTCCCTCGCATATGAAGAGGAGAGTTGAGTCAAAATAGATTTGCTTCTACGGAAGAATTTCAGAATACAGAATGTTTGTTCGTTATCTTATCATACAGTCGAATTCCAATGCATATTTGATATGTATTTGATCCCAATTATATATATATATATATATATATATATATATATATGGAAGCGTGAGTTTGTAAATAGTGACTATTACTGCTAATAATGCAAGACTCTTCTGTAAAGCGAATTGAGTTCTCTCACTCACTCTGTGTTTATCTAAAAAATAAATACGCCTAAATTCGCTTCCCTCCCTGCCATGCGCCAACGGTTTCAATTATGCACCATGCGTGATACACGCGTAGATGATCATCTATCTTTCGATACATGACTGACGAGACAGATTTTTCCCGCAGCAGGTTGCCATTTATTTCTGCAGTAGACCAGTTGCCATCAAAGGCTACAGAACCCGGTCAGTCATGCCATTTAACGATAGCCAGGGTGAGAAGAGGAAGAGTCATACCTTTCCCAAGGGTATTAGCACGTAAGTGAATGTAATGGATTCGATTGATATTTGAACTCGGCTCTCCGATTCCTTCCAACCGAGCCGCTATCCATTGCGTCACCGTCAGGTAGAATATCCGATTGAGGTCAATTCAGCCGGGTTTCGAGTTATATAGATAGATATTAATAAACTGTAATATAGCTGAGAGTGGCTGAGATAGATAGATAGATAGATAGATAGATAGATAGATAGATAGATAGACAGACATTAATAAACTGATATATACCTGAGAGAGGCGTAGATAGATAGATAGATAGATAGATAAACTTTAACAATAGTATATATCTCTGAATAAGCTGTGATAGTGCATATTTCAAAATAAATACCCCCCCCCCATTTTTACGTCTATTATTTAAAAAGAAACTTATGAGACGAAGGATTAATATACAAACGACCAACAACAGCCCAGTTATTGTCTATTACTGAAGGACTTACAATTTTCAGAAAATGGTAACATTAAAACATTTAGAATTTAGAGAAACACATGTATTTAACAAATACCAAACAGACAATTCCTTACCATTCCTGCAGCGGTCCCAGTCAGAGAATTCATATCTCTTGTCCATGTATTTGACGCCAGCGAGTGCCATCATCATACGGAGGATTTCGGCACGTCCGCGGCCATTGAAGTAATGGAGAGTGTAGTTAGGCATGGTGATGTTGGTTACTGCTTGTCGACTACCAAAGAGTACGAAGCTGTTCGAGTGACTGCAAATCTTCTCTGACGAGAATGCAATAACTGCCTCCGTATATATACTGCCACGTTAATCATGTCGTTAGACTCAATGATTAGGTTGGCGGTAACCTGTCCAAGGCCGTCTATTCAATATTCCTCACTTGATGGAGCTTAATTTTAGTTGTACTTTAACAACGAGAAGAATGCAGAGAATAAACAAAACTAATTATTTAGTTAATTATAAATAAAAATCTGTTTCGCATGTCTTTGATGTTTCACTTGTTTAATTTTAGATTACTCTTGGTCAGCGGTGTGGGGTTTATCGTAAAAGTGCGACCTTATTTTCTGGTGTTTTTTGATGTTTTTTGTCATTTAAATCCAGAACACTTAGAAATTTACGAACATACAATTTGATTGTGACTAGCATACACGGCAAAATGTTAACATTTACGAGCGGAATATCGTTTCTGTTTAGTAGCGTCTACCTCGACAGAATTAAAATTACTTTTCTAAAATGTTAAAAGATTAATTTATTAGTTTGACACACATGAAATGACTCACTTCATAGGAAATGAAAACTCTTTTGAAATGTTATATATTTAATTTAGTAGGTTGTCACACATGAAATGACTCACTTTATAGGAAATGAAAACTCTTTTGAGATGTTATATATTTAATTTAGTAGGTTGTCACACATGAAATGACTCATTTTGTAGGAAATGAAAACTCTTTTGAAATGTTATATATTTAATTTATTAGGTTGTCACACATGAAATGACTCACTTTATAGAAAATGAAAACTCTTTTAAGATGTTATATATTTAATTTATTACGTTGTCACACAAGAAATGACTCACTTTATAGGAAATGAAAGCTCTTTTGAGATATAATATATTTAATTTATTAGGTTGTCACACATGAAATGACTCAATTTATACGAAATGAAAACTCTTCTGAAATATTATATATTTAATTTATTAGGTCGTCACACATGAATTGACTCGCTTTATAAGAAATGACAAAAATTCTTCTGAAATTTGAAATAATCAATTTAATA